GGTCTTTAATTTTTTAAAAAATCATATAATTACAAAAACGTAAAAAATAGTCATTTCTATATAACAAAATATTTTTAAAATTCACAAAAAGCTGAAATATTTTGTTTTCTACACTTTCCAGAATATATGTTCTATGGCTACTTGCCTATACGGGCCAGTAAATTATTAGTTTTGCCTATTTCATTTGTATCTACCAAGTGTAGAATTTGTGTTCTACTACATGTTTTGTCTTCTACATTTTCATAGAATGTTGCTTTCACCGTTTGCACTAAACATATATAGAATATAACTTCTACCATATTGTCTATCAACTACCGAAAATATAATGTGTTTTTTACTAAGTTATTTTTAAAATTCTAGGATCTTAAAACAAGTGAATATTCTATCTTCTTTAAATGATTTTTTTAAAGATATTTTCATTCTATTTTCCTAAACTGATTCTTTTGAAGATATTTTCATTATATTTTCCTAAAATAATTTTTTTGAAGATATTTTCATATTACAGCTTCGTTTATAATATGTTACATATTTATAAACTAATATGTTTCATTTATTTTATAATATTTCGTTTATAATATGTTTAAACAAATTTTTGAACAAATTTTTAATTCTATTTTTTTTGTTTTTTCGATTCTTTTTTTTTGTGTTAATATGTTGCATATCTATTTTCCATAAATTTTGTTTATAATATAAATCTATTTTCCATAAATCTATTATTAATCAATCAATATCTTTTTTTTTTTGGTCGGGTCAATATCTTATATATAATATTGAGATATAACATTTGTTTAAATTAAATCAGAGGACAAAAATGAATTTTTTTATAATTAAACCATAATGGAACAAACCCAAATACTTAAAGACGAATCGATCAGTCTATGAGTTTCGCGCGGCTCCCCAACTAGTAACTACAATCTGCCATTATGATTTACTGGAGATTGATTGTTGGAAAATGTGATCTCTTAAATATCCAACGTTGATTATTCTGTAAACAATTAACTAAATTTTTAGTAGATCTGTAGATGTATATGTATTCTTTCTTTAATTTTGCACACCATATGCAAATACCAAGTTACAAATTAATAATTATTCTTCTTAACGACAAACTCTATAATCATGCCGGGAATCTAGAGATTAAACATTTGTTCATGTGTCTATTTCATTATTTTTAGTATACGAAAACAAAACGAGTTATATAAATAAATTGGGATGACAAGTGTAGATGAATGGGCCTTTTCTAATCGTTTGGATTTGGACACAACAATTACAATCCAACATGCATATCCTCCCGTTTTCTCCAATTGCCCACTCGCTTTTGCTTCTTTTTGCTTGCTCCCGCAATTAATACACACACACAC